GACCACCCCCCCCCCCCCCCCCCCCCCCCCCGCCCGGGCCTAGGACGACGTGGCGTAGGGACTAGGAGAGCAAAGGTGGGGGAGGATGAGTCAGGGGCGTATGTGTGGTCAGGGACTCCCGGAGTGTGAGCGTGGGAGTATTGATGAGTTGCATGTTTTCTTTTGCGGGTGGAATTTCTGTCGTTGTAATGTACGCGTACAGAGAGTATCTTGACTGTGTGCCTACGAGCAGTAGTATTACATAGTCGTATATTAGTATGAAATCCCCATATGACAGTCACAATGGTATGTATCGAATAAAATAAGAGATATAAATCAATAGAAAAAGGTTGGAGAGATGAGGTTATACGACGTGCAGTACAGACCCTGCTTCAGGTCATGGGTGTACATTGGCGTGCAGCATGAATCTTTGTTGTATCGAAAGTACCATCACGGTAAATGTGCTACGCCGTACTATTCATTACTCGTGCTCGTAGGATGTCTTCTGGTAAGAGTGATGTATTATTATGAGAGTGACTTGTGGGAGTACTGTTACATGTAGAGAGTCGGCCGCCAGATGAATGAGAGATGATACCTAGAGAGGGAGAGGGGGAGAGAGAGAGAGAGAAGAAGAAAAAGAAAAAAAGAGAAGAGAAGAGGGGGAAAAAAAAGAACAAATAAAAGAAAAGAAAAGGGCATCCAATCAACTTTACAGAATAGCATATCACGACATAATAAGGCGTGTTTCATATTTCCCTGCAAGGTACCAATAATAATCTGATAGGGGAGAAGGGGGGGAGGGGGGGGGGTTGGCTCTTGGCTGTGATAGCCTACGGCTGTGATAGCCTACGGGTGAGGATGCATGTAACTTGCCTTACCCTCCCTGCTTTTGATTCTTTCCAGCGGTTGCGAGGGTCAAGTACAAGTGTATGATACAGAGGGGAATAGGGAAAGAGAGAGAAAGAGAGAGAAGAAAGGGAAAGCAAAAGGACGTTTCTTGGGATGTCGACATTCGTTTCTCCCTCCCCCCCCAAGTCGTGGAACTTGTAGATGAGATGTTGGATGCAAGCCTGCAGGGTAAGTAAAAGGTCTTGAGGGGGGGGGTGGGCCGGTCCATGTGCCTGCATTCCTCAGATTGAACATGGCATGTGGACTCAGCTCTGACGACGCTGCTCTTTGCCCTCAAGGCCCAGCCTCTTCCAACGTTGCTGTCTGGATTCGTGAGGGCCAATAAAGTTTCTCCGATCATGTCATCTTATTTCCCGAAGCGTAGTATATCGCGGTCAAACTGTCCTCGTGGGCCTTCTTCTTTCTTCTGAATCACGACGCGGAATACTCCGTATACGAGCATGTGTAATGCCGTCCTTGGTGGAGGCGAGGAGAGAGAACGAAGAGAGGAAAGAAGAAGAAGAGAAGAAGAAAAGGCCCGAGATCCAACGCTAGTCAAGTAGACATTGCCATCTGTGGCTGGAGTGCGCACGTGTAGAGGGGAAAGAAAAATCATCCCAAGTCTCGATTGCTCTTTTTCTTGTCCTTTTCCGTCCTCTTCTCTCTCTCTCTCTCCTCTCTCTTCTTCTTCTC